AGTGGGCCCTCTTCCTCCTGAGATCACAGGGCCTTGGGCAAAAGTGCAGCGAGCGTCTCTCACACAGTTTCGGCCCCCCCAAACCCTCACAGATCGATCCAGCTTGAAGATGCCGCGAACAGATTGGGTTGAGAGCTCTGGTCGCGATTCTTCGCAGCCTTGTACCTCGGGCCTCCAGGTCCCCCCTCCCGATCCCCCCTCGATGCTGCATCGTCCGTCTTCGTGCTCCGCCTCCTCCTCCTCCTCCTCCCCCTTCTGCTCCTGCTCCTCCTGTTCCTGCTCATCCTCGGCCTCGTGGCCCCGCCCCTTCACTTGAGGTGCAGCGATACAGGGCGGACTGGCACTATTAGTGGGGGGAACCTCGACCTGCAATCGGCGATGCATCGCCGATAGATCGGCGATCGGGCCCCCATCGGCGAGGAATGGGCAAGGGTGGGTCGGTGCGTCCCCCCCTGTGCCCATCCCCCCCTGTCGTCGCCCTCGTCGTCCTCCTCCTCCTCCTCCTACACAATTACTCAATATGAATACTACTCTCCCTCTTCCCCTGATGACGGTTTGAAAGTGTCCGACCCCCACCCCCCACGTACTGTTTTTTACACACAAGTTTCCCCAGAGTTGGGTGTTCGCCTGTTTTTTTCAAAATGCTGCTCTCGCTGAGGCGCTGGCCTCATTTTCGGGCCCCGTTCGTTCCGAATCGTGCTCCCGCTGCAGCGCTGGCCTCATTTCCGTGCTTCCGCTCGTTCCGAATCGTGCTCCCGCTGCAGCGCTGGCCAAATTTCCGCGCTTCCGCTCGTTTCGGCTCGTGCTCCCGCTGCAGCGCTGGCCTCATTTCCCGTGCCATGCCACGGCATGCAATGCAATGCTAGGTTGATACTACGCTTTGCGGTGCTCTTCTACGCCATGTCATGCCGTGCTCTACAACGCATCGGGTACCCTTTCGGGAGTATTGCCCTTCTCGACATCCGACTGTGCGAGTAGAGAGGGGATCTGCGCCATGGTAAGGGATGGGAGGGAGGGGTAGGATGACAGATATGACGCGAGCGCACCTAGCTTGTCGTCCTCCCCCTCCTCCTCCTCCTCCTCCTCCTCCTCCTCCTCCTCCTCCTCCTCCTCCTCCTCCTCCTCCTCCTCCTCCTCCCCCTCCCCTCTGGCCCAGGCGATCGCACGGCCCCGCCACTCTTCCGCCCCCGGCGCCGCGCCCGCCGAGGCACGGAGCCGCTCGGCCCATCGGGGGGCCGCCAACGGTGCCCCTCCTCCGTGGGTGCTGCCGTGCGCTCCGCGGTGCCACGGCGAGGCGCCGCGTCTCGCCGTCGCGGCGATGGCCAGGTCGGTCGCGGCCCCTGCCGCTGCCGCGGCCGTGGCACCGCTCGTCGCGGCCGCGAGGTGCCCGAGGAGAAGGCGAAGAGGGGGACGCCGATCCGTCGCATGAAAAAAAACAAGCATCGTGCTGGGAGTAGGACGTCGGGAAGCTACAGGGCACGACCGCGCAATAAGCACCTTCAGCATGCGCGGCAGTATTCATGGCACGATCGTGGCTCCCAACCCCCTTCTCCCAACCCGATAACTGTCTTGCTGAATCATGTAGGAGGTATCCTGCAGGATCCCTCCTGCGCGGAGGGGCAGCCGATTCGCGGCTCTGTGGGCGCACCGTGCAGGCCTCGGGTCTGGAGGCCCCCCCGGCAGTGCGGGGTCCTTCCCCGGAGGCCCGCAACGGGCAAACTGCAGTGAACCCATATAGTAAGCGCGGTAAGGATGCAAGGGCCTTGGGAAGCCGTGTTGACGTTTTTCTAGCGGGGCGCAGCCGACAGCCGAAGGATGCAAGAATACCAGAGGATGCAGGGGTACAGTGGAGGCCAGTCCACAAGAAACCTTCCACAAGAAACCTGACCCTGAGACCCCAGGACGTCCATGGATTCTTGGTGTGGGAACGTCACTCTTTCCCGCCAAGCAGGGTGTTTCTTGATATGGGCCTCCACTGTAACCTTGGAAAGTTGCTCATCCTTCCTGTGCGGGCTGACCGCATTCCCCCTCTGAGCGGCCGCCGGGGAAGCTGGGGAGAGTCAAGCCACCTCGGCGGCCAAGGCCTCCAGACGCAGCCGCAGCCAGGCTCGCCTCGCTGCGGCGCGCGCAGAGGCGCGGCAGGCCCAGCTGCAGCGACGAGTGGACCGACGGCGCGAGGCCTGCGCTGCTCCCGCTGGAGCGTCGCCCATGGCCCCGGGGGCGGTGGCGGCCCTCGTGCCGAACCAGCACGTGGAGGCCGACCGCATCAAACTCTCCCGCCCTGAGCTCCCGTCGATCGCCCCCTCGCCGTTCATTCGGAGGGGGGGCAGCACGGAGGGCATCGGCCAGTGCGGCTACGACCACCTCCGCGTCCTCGCTTCGTGCGGCCTGACGCGCTTCGACGGCTGGTGCCTGGACTTGCGGCTCATGCTGCACATCGGCTCCACGAGACTCCTCGCGCTGCTCGTGGGCATCTACGGGCCAGGCTGGTGGCCTGGCCCACTCAAGAATGGTGGCAACCGTCGTCGCTGGTTCCCGTGGGGGCCACGGGCGCGAGGGTCTTATGACGGGAGACGGTCGGTGCTGCTCGGCTGACATGCAGCGCCAGCCCCGCCGCCCACGGCGGAGAAGCGAGCGGCCACATCGATTCGGGCAGGCGCCTCAGCTGACGCATATATATATACACACACATATTTATGTAGATATACTAGAAACATCTCGCGCGCGTCGCGCGAGCTCAAGTTCTAGCTAGGCTTGAGAGGCTAACTCTTGTAATATCATTGTGGTCGCTTCTTGCGTCCAGGGCCTCCCTTGGAGGCCCTGCGAAAGCCTCGGACTCGTATAGAAGGGGAAGTGCGGAAACGCAGAAATCATTTATTTCCTTTAGGTATTCAACGATTTGGGGCCCTCAAGGCTTCCTGGGTTCTTTTTTGGGAGGTGAGAGGGGTCTGAATCGTGGTCTGCTGTGCAAGAGTAGACTGGGAGCAAAACTTGGGAGAAAGAAGGAATTGTGGGATTCCCATGTTTGTTCCAGTTCCTCGGCGCTGTTCGGCGCTGTTTCTTGTTTGTGCCTCGCGGGTTTTGTTAGCTGGGCCACTCGGGGGTGTGGGATCTTCCGGACCCCCTGGGGGTTCTGGAGGCCTCCTGGAGGCCTGGAGAGCCGTCGGAAGGGTGTCTCCGGCTGCGCGGGAGCGTGTGGATCCGTTCTTTACGTTCTGGGAGCTCCTTGGGGTCGTCTTGGGCTGTTCTTGGGCGTCTTGGGGGCCCCCCTGAAAGCCGGGAGGCGCGGTACCGGCCAGATGTCAGGGGATGTTTGGGATCTCCGAGTAGGAGTCCCACTTTGAAAAAAGAATGGAATTCTGGGAACTCCCTTTTTTCTCAAAATCCTCGATCTTCGAGGGTTGGAAGCGGGAAAACATGAGAAGGCGAAAAACATTGGAAAACCATTGGAAATCAACGATTTCACCCTCTTTGGGCTCTCTCGGGACGGCTCTCGCAGCTCTCTTGGGCTGTTCTTGGAGCCTCGTCGGGGTCTTCTTGGGGCCTCTCAGGGATCGGGGGGGTGTTAGGGGCCCCTGGGGGGCCCGGAGGCCTCTTAGAGGTCTCTGGAAACCTCATGCTCCCACTGTTGGGCCCATCTTGGGTCTGTTCTGGGGTGGTCTGGGGCTGTCCTGGGCGCCTCTTCGGCAGTCTTGGAGCCTTCTTGGCCCGTCTTGGGGCCGTCGTGAGGGTCTCTTGGGTGGTCTTGGGGCGGTCTCGGGCAGCTCTTCGGCGCTCTTAGACCATTGGAAGCTCGAAAACGCGAGAAGCCAAAACCACAGAAAAAAATTGACATCGACGATGTCGGTCTCTTCGGGCCGTCCCGGGACGCCTCTCGAACCTCTCTTGGGGTCTCTTGGAGGCCACCTGGGAGCCTCGAGAGCCGTCGGAAGGCTGACTTGGGCTGCTTGGGAGCGTCTTGGACTATCCTTTCGCATTCTGGCGGCTCCTGGGAGGCGTCTGGCTCCCCTGGAAGGCCGGGGGAGCGGTGCCGGGAGCGGTCCCGAGATGTCGCGGGGAGGTGTGGGACCCGGGGCCGGGGGGGCGGTGTATATATATATATATATACACACATATATATATATATATATATATATATATATATCCCACCTCCTCCTCATCCTCCTTCTGCGCATCTCCTTCTCCTCCTCGACCTTCTCCTCCTCCTCCTCCTCCACCATCTCCTCCTCCTCCTCCTCCTCCTCCTCATCATCATCATCCTCATCATCATCATCATCATAATCATCATCATCAGCATCATCAGCAGCATCATCATCAGCATCATCAGCAGCAACAGCATCAGCATGAGTATCAGCATCAGCATCATCATCATCATCAGCATCATCATCATCAGCAACAGCATCAGCAGCAACATCATCACCATCAGCATCATCATCATTCTCGTCATGCTGCTCCTCTCATCCTTCTCCTCCTGCTGCTCCTTCCTCCCCTCCAACCTCCATTCCAGAATATTTGGGACCTTCTGACTCTGCCGACGACCTCCAGAAGCGTCAGAAATGTCGAACACATCCTGGTGGTGCACTCCCCTTGTTCCCTCCCTCTCCATACAACATCATACAAGCCACTGCGTGCATCTTTGGCGCCTGCCTGTCCTAGTCCAGAACTTCGCCTCCGCACATGCAAGTAGAATGTGCTCCCAGTGCAGTGGGGAACAATGTGAATATGTAAGCACGACAGCGTGCTCTGACGGCGCAAACGCACGGCTGGCATTGGGGATCCTGAGGACATACGCGCCAAGGAGCGTACATGAATGAGCCCCACAAATCGTGAGGCCTTGCTCATGGCACGGACGCGCTTTTGAAGTGCGCTCTCGGGGCCCATGCGAAATCATTCACGCACACACATGCCGCTTCAGAAGAATGAACCATTCTTCCGAAACTCCTTGAAACAAGCCCTACAGCCATCGACAGCAGCAACCTCAAAGACAGCTCCACCGGTCATCACGCCTCGCCACCTTCGATGCTGCAGCCAGACGAGACGTGCTCTGCGCGGATGCGTCCCAGCAGCCCCACGCTGGCGAGCCTGCAACCGCAGCTGCACGTTGTCAAGTCTCTGGCACTGCGCACCTGCGTCGCCACGCGCACCGCTTCCCTGCAACCGGTCAGGGAACGAACACCGGCGGCCCGGGGGCCGCGCTTGCTGCAGCCCACGCCCCAGGCCGCGCAATCGAGCGCACTGGAAGGCGACGATCGACCAGTGCTCGGTGCCAACGTTGCCAAGGGCCGCAGCAAACACAAAAGACACGCACAAGGAGCTGGCGCGAAGGGCGTGGGCCTCAAAGAAGGCGGGCTGCTTCTCAATCGGGGAGACGCAAGACTCGGATTCGGGGGACTCGGGTTGGCTTGACGGGCCATCATGAAAATGACGCGACCCAGTCAGAAATCTGGCGCGAACTCCCGCCGCAAACATCCCACAAAAGCTGGACCGTCAAAACCCAGGACGCGCTCGTCAAAAAGCGTCGGAAAGCCCGAGTTCTGGCTCACTCGAGTCCTACGTGTCCACGATCTCAGAAGGCGGGACAAAATTGTTCGACGGGAGGGCCCGGAGGAGGAGGAGGGGGAGGAGGAGGATGAGGTGGAGGAAGAGGAGGCGGAGGAGGAGGAGGAGGAGGAGGAGCGGGGCTGGCGGCTTTCAACCAGGCGCCCCAGAAACCAGGAGGACCTCCGAGAGGCCCCCTGCCTTCGCGGAAGCCCCCCTCGTCTCCTTCGAGGACCGCCCCCCCTCGCGCCACCCCCCTCGTGGGCGCCGCCGACTCCTGCTCCCCTCCCCCTTTCCTCCCCCTCCCTCCGCATCCTCCCCGTTCGACGCCTCCTCGCCCCTGATCCCCCCTCCTCCCCTCTCTCCCCCTCGCCCTTCGGCTCCGCCCCCCCTCCTCCCGTTCCTCCTCCCCTTTCGCCTCCCCCTCGCCCCCGATCCGCCTCCCATCCCCCTCCTTCCGCTCCTCCCTCCCCCCCCAGTCCTCCCCCCAGGAGGACGAGGGGGAGAAAGGGGGATAAAAGGGGGAGGAGGGGGAGGAGGGGAGGGGGAGGAGGAGGAGAAGGAGGAGGAGGAGGAGGAGGAGGAGGAGGGAGGGCGAGAGAGGCGGGAAGAGAAACCCCCCTCTCCCTCTCCCTCCCGCCCCTGCTCCCCAGGCCAGACCCTGGCCGTAGGCCGCCCACGCGGTCGGGCGGCCTGTGTGGCACGGGGCCCCCCAGACGCCGCCCTCACCGTCGTCGTGGAGCCACCAGAACAGCGCGCGCTCGAGGGCTCCGTCCTCCAGCAGCGGGCCGGGGAGGGGGGAGGAGCGAGGAGGAAGAATAATAACAACACTGAGACATAACAATAATAATAACACGAAGAAGTAGGGAGTTCTAAGACTTTGAACAAGCATACAGCATACAATAAGAAAAGTATGAACAATTGGAAGAATAATAACAATGATGAGGAGAAGCGAAAGCAGGAGGAGGGAGAGGAGGGAGGAGCAGGAGGAGGAGGAGGACCAGGAGGAGGAGGAGGAGGAGGAGGAGGACCAGGAGGACGAGGAGGAGGAGGAGGACCAGGAGAGGAGGGAGAGGAAATAGGCAGGAGGAGTGGGAGGAATGAGAGGGGGAGGGAAAAAGCAGGAGGAGGGGGAGGAGGGACAGAGGGATTGGGGGGAGTAGGTCATTGATAGTTTGTGGGAGGCTGCCGCTTCTGAGCGAGCAAGCACTGGCTCTAGGGAGCTGCAGGGAGGGTAAGAAGGAGGAACGAATGAGGAGGGAGAAGAAAGAGGAGGCGGATTTGCTTGTCGTGTTGAACGGTCCTTGGCAAATTCTAGAAAGGGGTATCAGGAGGGGTGGGTGGAGGGGTGGGGGAGGAGGGAGGATGAGACGAAGGAAAAATGAGAATTCACTCGGGTGAGGATGAATCGGGAGTCTCTGAGAATCAACGGTTATGGAGGAATTATCGGGCGCCATGGTTGTTCCAAAACGCTCCGGAACGGCGTGGGAGCGTCCCGGAACGCTCTTTTGCAAAAAGGATTGCAATCCTTCGTTTTTTTGCAATCCTTCGGTTTTTTTGCAATCCTTTGCAAACCTTGGTTTTTTTGCAATCCTTCGAGCGGTTTGTCCGCATCCTGGGCCTGGGCCAGCCCGAGAGGAGGAGGGGGAAGAGGGACCTTCTCCCCCGGCAGCGCATGCTTCTGCGCGGCGTGGGTCCCCCAGGAACCTCGACTACTTCCCCGGGGCCAGCGGCTTAGTATGAAGGGGAACTGGGACACACAAATAAATACACACAAATAAAAATATTCCCCATATTTTCCCATATGTTCTGGGTTTTTGTCTTCCCCTCTACTTCCCATATTTTCCAATATTTTCTGGGAATCGCCGATTAATTGTGTCTGTGTGTTTTTTCCCCTCCTGATAGTATCTTAAGTCGTTTTTGGACGGCCCCGGGGCCAGGAAGGACAACGTGGAGCAGACTGTCGTCACGATCCCTCTGGCGACGCCCAGGCCTGTGAGGGGAAGAGGACCAGGGAAAGGCGGCAACACCGGCACTGGTGCGAAGAGCCAGGGGTGGTCCTGCTGGCGGTGTGGCCCCCCCACCCCGCTCGAGACCTCCGCCGTTCCCTGTTCGGGAGGGCATCGTGGCATCGCGGACCTCCTCGCTGGAGGTGGCAGCCCCTCGAGGTGGGGGTCGCTTTTGTTATCTTTCCCTCCGAAGAAGAAGGGGAGCACCCGCGGGGGCTGCTCCGGCGGGGCCGGGGCCCCAGGAGTCCGAGTCGAGGTCCAGGGCCCTCTGCATCCACAGGAGCTCCGCGCCCAGGGCCCTCCGCACCTCCGCGAGGGCGCCAGCGCGAGGGGGCGTTGGAGGGACCAGGGGGAGAAGAGGGGGGGGGGAGGGGGGGGCGAGACAAGCGAGGTGCGCTCGCGCCATATCTGACACCGCCCCTACCCATCACACCCGTCCCTTCCCATTGCGCTGGTCTTTCCATATCCGCTGGCGCGTGTCGCGGAACTGGAACTCCAGAGGGGGGCCCATCGTGTTATCCGCAGTGGGACCAAAAGGAGAGCTACAGACATTGGAAGAGGTGGCGGATGAACAAGAGGAAGAAGAAGGATGAGGACGAGGACGAACAGCAGCAACGGAAACCAGAGTGGGAGGAGCGGGAGGAGCCAGAGGACCAGGGGAAGGCGGAGGAAGGGAAATGAGGGGGTGACCACGCTGAAAAAGGACTCAAGCCCAGAGAAGTGGCACGCACTTGGGCGAGAACGCCAATCTGAACGACGGGAGCGAAGCACCGATCCGAAAATGAAGCTCACGCTGCAACGGAAACACCGAGAACACAATCGGACTGCTTACGAAACCAAAACAACAAACAAGAACACAATGCTTGACATCTGGGAAGAAGAGGAAGCAAAAAAGCGCAACGTGCATCCGTTTTTTGTTTTTTGAAATGCAACGCACAATCAATCATCATAAATTTCCATGCCCCCATAATTCATATGGCAATACGTTGGGTTCTTCGTCAAACACTCATTTGGGTAGTCCTTGACGGCCCAAGCGTCCTGAGCGGAACATTAAATTCCGAGGATGCCAGACTCGACACTCACATCCAGCAACGCCGCACGAATCGCCAAACTTCTCCGCGTCCGGTCTGAGATCCAAAACCCGTATCATATGGAGGCCGTTCCGATCCAAAAGATATCACGACTAACCGGCGTGGATTTCTTTTCATCACCATGTCCGCTACACGTTTGTGCTCGTAGTGCACTGAGACCCTAGGCCAACTCCAGCAACAGCATGGTCACAATAGAAGTTGCCATCGTCATCATCCTCAGCTTGCAGTCTGGATTCCTCGGAGTTGGACTGACAAGCTTGTAGGGCCAAGGCCATGATACAACCAACAACCAATGAAAGGATAATCGTAAAATGTTGTATGTTCACTATGAGGTGAAAGAGCACTGCAGCTGCCTGTGGACCGAACAAGCTCCACCTTGAGCCAGAGACTTGAGCCAAAACGGCTACGAACCGAGGAACACTCAGCGAATGATAAGACTCCTGATGGAAACTGGTCCGAAGTGTCTCCGGCTTTCCCAGGGCCCAGGTCATGTTATTGACGGTCCTGGGGCTGGGGGAAGGCCCCCGGAGCCTGAAGACACGAACAACTCAGAAAATATCTTTTGTCCGCGACCCCTATCTTCATGGAAGGAGCGGGCCCCGATTTACAGCGATCAGTTGATACAATTTCCTGACACATTCTGCACTCGTCCAAATAGCGCGTCGGCCGAACTCGCCGCCAGGCTGTGCACTGCGCGTTTTTCGACGTACCTTCAACTCCATGATGTTGCCAGCAATTTGAATCTGAAACGCACGTATCTGAATGACTCAATTCATTTTCGCACCTCGACAAAGGCATTCCGTTACATCTGCACATTGCCGTTGCAATGCCTGTTCACAATGGTTGGCTGTTTCTACTGGCCACCAGATTACGTCGATCAGATCAAGCATGCAACTTTTCCCTTGTCTGGAGGGCGTCCTGGGATAATTCATGGTGCTCGGGCTTCCGAAATATAAGCACGGCCCCAGACCTGTTCAAGGGTGCGTTTTGGCCATAACTTCAAAGCGGACCTAGCCGCGACGACGAAGAAACTCCCTGAGGCTCGAAAGGTACCCCGAACGCCCACAGACCTCGAACCCCCATTTTCGATACTCCAACATCCTTGTCACCCCGCCGCTGGGACTGGCGGGGGAGGAGGAGGGAGGCAAAGGAGGAAGGATGAGGGGCGATAGAGGAGACGGAGGAGGAAGGCAAGGGAAGAAGAGGGAAGGAAAATCGTGGGCGCGACCCGTGCCATTGTCTACGACCCCGCGGCCTGGCCTTCTCAGCCCATGAGCCGCAACCCTGCGGATACAGGGCGGCCATGCGCGGACGCCCTGCGCGAAGCGTGCCCATGGGATGGCGCGTCCATGATTTCGCGCCTCGGCGTCCAGACCGCGAGGGCACCGTTATACGAAGTGCTCTCCAACTTGGTTTCCGCACACTCCCTGGGCCATCGCAGGGTCTTCTGACTGCCCCGGGCCAGGAAAATGCATCCAGACGCGGAAACATTGACAAACCTGCATCGTCGAATCGGGATGTAAATATGTTTGTCGCAACGGCACGGGGCACGTGCCCCCGTGGCCAGGACCAGGAGGAGCACGTGCTCCACGACCAGTGCGCGAAACAAGGCACGCAAGGAGACCATGTTCCGCGCGCCCTGCTCGGGGCAGGGGGGGCCGGAGGCCGCGCTCCGACGCCCAACCGAACCACCACCCAGTCCATGGGCGGCCGCTGGCGACGAGGAGCAATTTGTTTTCCCCTTTGGCACCCTACGCGCAAACAAGAGTGACGATCGGGCTGCAACACGCCTGTTTTCCTGAAAGGGGTCCCAATGGCACAGGTGCCAGGAGACGAGGAGGAGGAGAAAAAGGAAGAGGAGGAGGAAGGGGACAAGGAAGAGGACGAAGCGGAACGAGGAACGGAAGAAGCGGGACGGAGGCAGGAGGAAGGAGGACGAGGAGGCACACTACCCATATATTGGCGGTCCAAGGAGGCGAAAAGGGACAACAAAATTATCCTGGTGAAGGACCCAACCATATGCAATTGTGAATAAAGCTTTGTGGGTGCCGCTTTCGGTGGGGCGCCTTATGGGGCCGCGAAAGGCGTGCCACGAAACGCTGTCCTGGGCGTACGGGACGCATGAGGGCGGTAGCATTGGGGCCTTCGGTGGAGCTCCATATGGGGCCACGAAACGTGTGAGGGGTGTGCCGAAATGGGTGCGGCGCCGCCATGCGCCCGCAGCCACTGGGGCCTTCGGTGCAGCTCCCTATGGGGCCACGAAACGTGTGAGGCGTGTGCTGAAATGGGTGCGGCGCCGCCAGGCGAACGCAGCCACTGGGGCCTTCGGTGGGGCTCCCTATGGGGCCACGAAACGTGTGAGGGGTGTCCCGAAATGGGTGCGGCGCCGCCATGCGCCCGCAGCCACTGGGGCCTTCGGTGGAGCTCCCTATGGGGCCACGAAACGTGTGAGGGGTGTGCCGAAATGGGTGCGGCGCCGCCATGCGCCCGCAGCCACTGGGGCCTTCGGTGGAGCTCCCTATGGGGCCAAGAAACGTGTGAGGGGTGTGCCGAATGGGTTGCGGCCGGCCATGCACGCAGCCACTGGGGCCTTCGGTGGAGTCCCTATGGGGCCACGCGTGTGAGGGGGTGTGCCGAAATGGGCGCGGCGCCGCCATGCGCCCGCAGCCACTGGGGCCTTCGGTGGAGCTCCCTATGGGGCCACGAAACGTGTGAGGGGTGTGCCGAAATGGGTGCGGCGCCGCTGTGCGCCCGCAGCCACTGGGGCCTTCGGTGGAGCTCCCTATGGGGCCACGAAACGTGTGAGGGGTGTGCCGAAATGGGTGCGGCGCCGCCATGCTCCCGCAGCCACTGGGGCCTTCGGTGGAGCTCCCTATGCGGCCACGAAACGTGTGAGGGGTGTGCCGAGATGGGTGCGGCGCCGCCATGCGCCCGCAGCCACTGGGGCATTCGGTGGAGCTCCCTATGGGTCCACGAAACGTGTGAGGCGTGTGCCGAAATGGGTGCGGCGCCGCCATGCGCCCGCAGCCACTGGGGCCTTCGGTGGAGCTCCCTATGGGGCCACGAAGCGCGTGAGGGGTGTGCCGAAATGGATGCGGCGCCGCCATGCGAACGCAACCACTGGGGCCTTCGGTGGAGCTCCCTATGGGGCCACGAAACGTGTGAGGGATGTGCCGAAATGGGTGCGGCGACGAGGGAGGGGGCAGCGGGGGGAAGGAGTGAACGCGGGGCACCGTCTCTTCAAAACGAGGACCCAACACCACAGGATGGTTGGGAACAGTTTCAGAACATCGCGATGGCCTTGTCCTTCCACGCACTCGAAAACTCTCAACGCATTTCCCCCACCCGCGCGCTTCCCACCCCATTCAACGAACTGCGCCACTGAGACGTCATGTGGAGCTTCCTATTGTGCCAGGAAGCGTGTGAGGGGTGACGCAAAATCAGGCAGCGCCGCCATGCGAACTGCGCCACTGGGACTTTCGGTGGAGCTCCCTATGGGGCCGCGAAACGTGTGAGGGGTGTGCCGAAATGGGTGGGGTGCCGCCATGCGAACGAAGCCACTGGGGCCCTCGGTGGAGCTCCCTATGGGGCCACGAAGCGTGTGAGGGTGTGCCGAAATAGGTGCGGCGCCGCCATGCGAGCGCAGCCACTGGGGCCCTCGGTGGAGCTCCTTATGACGCCACGAAACGTGTGAGGGCTGTGCCGAAATGGGTGCGGTGCCGCCATGCGAACGCAGCCACTGGGGCCCTCGGTGGAGCTCCTTATGGGGCCACGAAACGTGTGAGGGGTGTGCCGAAATCGGCGCGGTGGGCGCATGCGAACGCAGCCACTGGGGGCTTCAATGGAGCTCCCTATGGGGCGACGAAGCGTGCGAGGGGTGTCCCGAAATGGGTGCGGCGCCGCCATGCGCCCGCAGCCACTGGGGCATTCGGTGGAGCTCCCTATGGGTCCACGAAACGTGTGAGGGGTGTGCCGAAATGGGTGCGGCGCCGCCATGCCAACGCAGCCACTGGGAGCTTCGGTGGAGCTCCCTTATGGGGCCACGAAGCGTGTGAGGGGTGTGCCGAAATGAATGATGCGCCACCATGTTCCCGCAGCCACTGGGGCCTTCGGTGGGGCTCCCTATGAGGCCACGAAGCGTGTGAGGGGTGCGCCGAGAAGAGTGCGGCGGCGCCATGCCAACGCAGCCACTGGGGCCTTCGGTGGAGCTCCCTATGGGGCCACGACGCGTGTGAGGGGTGTGCCAAAATTTGTGCGGCGCCGCCATGCGAACGCAACCACTGGGGCCTTCGGTGGGTCTCCCGATGGGGCCACGAAACGTGTGAGGGGTGTGCCGAGATGGGTGCGGCGCCGCCATGCCAACGCAGCCACTGGGGCCTTCGGTGGAGCTCCCTATCGGGCCACGAAACGTGTGAGGGGTGTGCCAAACATGAACGCGGCGCCGCCATGCCAACGCAGCCACTGGGACCTTCGGTGGAGCTCCTTATGGGGCCACGAAGCGTGTGAGGGGTGTGCCGAAATGTGCGCGGCGCCGCCATGCGGACGCAGCCACTGGGGCCTTCGGTGGAACTCCCTATGGGGCCAAGAAGCGTGTGAGGGGTGTGCCGAAATGGGTGCGGCGCCGCCATGCGCCCGCAGCCACTGGGGCCTTCGGTGGAGTCCCCTATGCGGCCACGAAACGTGTGAGGGGTGTGCCGACATGAACGCAGCCACTTGGGCCTTCGGTGGGGCTCCCTATGGGGCCACGAAACGTGTGAGGGGTGTGCCGAGATGGGCGCGGCGCCGCCATGCGAACGCAGCCACTGGGGCCTTCGGTGGAGATCCCTATGCGGCCACGAAACGTGGGGCCTTCGGTGGAGGGGTGTGAGGGGTGTGCCGAGATGGGTGCGGCGCCGCCATGCGCCCGCAGCCACTGGGCCTTCGGTGGAGCTCCCTATGGGCCACGAAGCGTGTGAGGGGTGTGCCGAAATGGGCGCGGCGCCGCCATGCGGACGCAGCCACTGGGGCCTTCGGTGGAGCTGGGGCCTATGGAAAAATGGGGCCACGAAACGTGTGAGGGGTGTGCCGAGATGGGTGCGGCGCCCATGCGGACGCAGCCGCTGGGGCCTTCGGTGGAGCTCCCCATGGGGCCACGAAACGTGTGAGGGGTGTGCCGAAATGGGTGCGGCGCCGCCATGCGGACGAACCCACTGGGGCCTTCGGTGGAGCTCCCTATGGGGCCACGAAACGTGTGAGGGGTGTGCCGAGATGGGTGCGGCGCCGCCATGCGAACGCAGCCACTGGGGCCTTCAGTGGAGCTCCCGATGGGGCCACGAATCGTGTGAGGGGTGTGCCGAAATGGGTGCGGCGCCGCCATGTGGACGCGGCCAGTGGGGCCTTCGGTGGAGCTCCCGATGGGGCCACGAAACGTGTGAGGGGTGTGCCGAAATGGGTGCGGCGCCGCCATGTGGACGCGGCCAGTGGGGCCTTCGGTGGAGTTCCTTATGGGGCCACGAAACGTGTGAGGGGTGGGGGGAGGGAGGAGGGAGGAGGCGGAGGAGGAGGAAGGAAGGAGAGGAGAGGAGACGCGGGGCACCGTCTCTTCAAAACGAAGACCCAACACCACAGGATGGTTGGGAAAAACAAGGGAGGCCCTATCCGACGAGAGCTGTTTCCCAACGGGGGGGTGTCCCGAGTGGACCAGAACTGTTGTTGAGGACCTGGTGGGTAAAGAACCTACGTTGGCAGGACGCCCCCGGTTCCTTGGACTCGGTTCCTCGGCTCCTCGGTCTTGATTCCCTGCTGCCTTCTTCGGGCTCTGTGGTCGTGGTTATTAGGTTCCTTGGCTCGCCGGTCTTGGTTCATTGGTTTCTTGGTCGTCGTTCTTTGGTTCCTTGGTTCATTGGTTTCTTGGTTTGTTTGGTTCTTTGGTTTTGGATCCGTGGTTCCTGGACTTGGTTTCGTGGTTCATTGCTCTTGTTTCTGTGCTGCCTCGCAACGACCTGCCAAGCAGTTCAAAGCAACGCAAACTAGAACCACACAGTGACAAGCAATGCAAAGAAATGCCACGTTGCGCCACGCAACCTCAAGCGATGCGAAGCAACGCCAAACCATGCCAAGCAATACCAGACAACGTCGAACAACAAACAACGTGGTAAGCAATCTGAAGAAAAATGTCGAACAATGCCACGCAGTGTGCCAATGCACTAGGAAGATGTTTTCTGCTCCCACCGACCCTCTTGGGGTTCATGGTTTGGGAAGTTTGTTCTGCTGACCTGGGGGGGGATCCCCCTCGCCCATGCCCCCCCCCGCCCCTGGATCGGGACAGCGTTCTGGGACGCGTTGGAGCACCCAAGACGGCCAACGGAGGCCCCGAGCCCCCC